TATTAGCTTAATACATTGTTATCTCCAGTATCATCCTCAAACTGATTTATATTCAATTAGGGTAATGGGGTATTATGCCTATAGCAGTATTGACGGTAAATCTGTCTATGCTTGCTGACAGGTTTTGTCAGGTTAGGTTACCTATCCAAATTAAATGTGTCTAGAGTGAACTGCTAAAGCCGTGCAGGTACAGAGTAGAGAACAGAACCTCCCTAGTTTTGATAAATGTACATCGAAAGTGATAATCTTTCAGTATATTTCATGGTCAACTTCACACTTTGTTCTCCATCTCTACTGTTAGAAGTCTGTGTCGGTTGGTGCTGCTGAATTCTGTTATTCTTCCGAGATAACTTAACAGTAACGAACTTCTACAGACTAAATAGAACACTATTCAGCAGAAATAATTCAGTTAGCTTCAACAGCAGATTAGGGACACAGTGGAGATACTAGGGTATTCAAACTCTATAACCTTTTTGTGCCAATGGATTGGCTTGAGAGAGCACACTTGAGCTAAAATAGGTCTCTCTCTCTTTCGCTCTCTCTCTCTCTCTTTGTAGAGCGGTAAGGCTGAAAATGGGGTACACAATGGTTGCTGTCCGCTGATTCATCCAAAGCTGCAGTTCTGATGAGTGTTGCCCATTTCTGGGTCAGTGAACAAAACTGCCACCTGACACACTGAATGTAGAACAGACAGGGCACACCAGGGCTATAAAACATACACACACACACGTGCACGCAAGCACACACAAACACACGCACACGCACGCACGCATACGTGCACTCACGCTCTCAATCAAAAGTGCATTCATGTGCTGACACAGATTCTCACGAAGCTCAACTCGCACTCCCTGTCGAAAGATTTCACTGTAAGTATATCTTTTTTTTTTTTTTTTTTTTTACTTTTCAGCCTACTCTCTCTATGCATCTATAGTATAGAAACATTTACTGAATGTTTGTACAAATAAACATGTTTATTCTTTCACATGAGAAATATAAAATGTTTATATGCAGTTAGTACTGTATCACACATGTCAGAAATGGCTGTGCTGTAAAATGCTGAAGTTGTGAAGAGCTCAGCAGTGGGAAATATCTAACAGTCGCAGGCTGTGCTGTCTTCAGATGTTAGCTTAAGGCTGCTACACACTTTTACCTAAACGACAGTGACGGAGCGTCCTTTTCTACATAGTTCTACAAACTTTTGTGCGGCTGAAATGTTGGAATTGACTGTATACGATGCTCTATTGCTCTGTTTGCGTAGGGTGTCCAGGGCCCTTAGGTCACACGATGCGTTTCTGTACGTTTATATTCAAAGTCTTAAGAAGATATGTCCACATTATCATTAAGCTGAAATACTAAGGTTATATTGAGAATCAATACATTTTCTCTTTGCTTCAGAGGACTACGGGTGAGACAGTGTGAGTGATGGGATGATGTGAAATAAATTATAATCAATGAAACAAGGGACAGGGACAGAACGAAAGAGTGGAAAAGGAGTGAATGGAGGTAAATGCTTCATATGACGTTATACAATCTCTAATGGTCCTTAAATGCTGTGGCTTGAAATAAGGCTGACAGTTGGAAGACGCTCGAGGCATCTCGGTGAAAGCTGTCAGTGTGATCAGCTGTCTCGTACTGCATTACTCCTGAACAAGACGTTGTACGACTAAACTGACAGTGACGGAGCTGTCTTTTCACATGTGTCTAACCTGTCTTTGACAGCGTCTCTGTACTGGGCTTACGATCTGTAGACGCTGTCTCCTATGGTACTGTCTGTGCAGCTGTCGCTACTGGCTACTGTCTGTGGACAGCTGTCTGCTACTGGCTACTGTCTGTGGACAGCTGTATCTGCTACTGGCTACTGTCTGTGGACAGCTGTCTCTGCTACTGGCTACTGTCTGTGGACAGCTGTCTCTGCTACTGGCTACTGTCTGTGGACAGCTGTCCTGTTACTGGCTACTGTCTGTGGACAGCTGTCTGCTACTGGCTACTGCTGTGGACAGCTGTCATGCTACTACTGGCTACTGTCCTGGTGGACAGCTGTCTCTGCTAGCTACTGTCATGTGGACAGCTGTCTCTGCTACTGGCTACTGTCTGTGGACAGCTGTCTCTGTTACTAGCTACTGTCTGTGGACAGCTGTCTCTGCTACTGGCTACTGTCTGTGGACAGCTGTTCTGCTACTGGCTACTGTCTGTGGACAGCTGTCTCTGCTACTAGGCTACTGTCTGTGGACAGCTGTCTCTGCTACTAGCTACTGTCTGTGGACAGCTGTCTCTGCTACTGGCTACTGTCTGTGGACAGCTGTCTGCTACTGGCTACTGTCTGTGGACAGCTGTATCTGCTACTGGCTACTGTCTGTGGACAGCTAGTACTCTGTACTGCTACTGTATGTGACAGCTGTCTCTCGTACTGGCTACTGTCTGTGGACAGCTGTCCTGTTATAGGCTACTGTCTGTGGAAGCTGTCCTGCATGGCTACTGCTGAGACAGTAGTAGCTATGCTACTGTCTGTGGACAGCTGTCTCTGTACTAGCTACTGTATTAGTACAGCTGTCTCTGCTACTAGCTTCTGCTGTGGACAGCTGTCTTGCTACTGCTACTGTCTGTGGACACTGTCTCTGCTACTGGCTACTGTCTGTGGACAGCTTCTTGCTACTGGCTATGTCTGTGGAGCAGCTGTCCTTGCTATGGCTACTGTCTGTGCAGCTGTCTCATGCTATGCTAGTCTGTACGGTATTGTGACAGCTGTCTCTGCTACTGGCTACTGTCTGTGGACATACGGGTCATTTACACCAAATGTATCTGCTCTAGCCACAGGCAGCATCAGCAGTAGTAGTAGTAGTAGTAGTATAGATATTGCATCATAGTAGTAGTTAAGTAGTAGTAGTAGTAGTAGTAGTAGATAGTAGAGTAAGTAGCATAGTAGTAGATAAGTAGTCAGTAGTAATCAGTAGTAGTATAATGTAGTCAGTAGTAGTAGTATAGTAGAGTAGTAAGTAGTATAGTAGCAGTAGATAGACGTATAGCATATAAGTAGTAGGCAGTGAGTAGTAGTAAGCATAGTAGTAAGTATAGTAGTAGCAGTAGTACGTATAGAGTAGTAGTAGTACAGATAGTAGTAGTAGTCATATAGGTAGTTAGAGAGCTATTAAGCATAGTAGTAAGTAGTAGTAGTAGTAGTAGTAGTAGTAGCAGCAGTAGTAATAGTAGTAGTAGCAGCAGTAGTAGCAGCAGTAGTAGTGGCAGTAGTAGTAGCAGTAGTAGTAGTAGAATTATTATATAGTACAACAGTAGTAATAGTAGAAGTGGTAGTAGCAGTAGTAGAAATAGCAGTAGTAATAGTAGTAGTATTAATAGTAGTACCAGTAGCAGTATAAATAGTAGTAGCAGTAATAGTAGTAGCAGTAGTAATAGCAGTAGAAGCAGTAGTAGTAGTAACATTATTATTAGTAGTACAGCAGTAGTATATAGCAGTAGTAGTACTAGTAGCATTAATAGTAGTAGCAGTGGTAATAGTAGTAGTAATAGTAGCAACAGCAGCAGTAGTAGTAGTAGTAGTATAGCATTAGTAGCAGCAGTAGTTATGGTAGCAGTAGTAATAGTAGTAGGAGTAGCAGTAGTAGTAGTACTACTACTAGTAGTAGCAGTAACAGTAGTAGCAGTAGAAGTATTAGTAGTAATAGTAGTAGTAGTCGTAGTAGCAGCATCAGTAATTAGTAGTAGTAGCAGTAGTAGTAGTAAGTAGTAGTAGTAGTAGCAGCAATAGTAGTAGTAGCAGCAATAGTAGTAGTAGTAGTAGTAGTAGTAGTAGTAGTAGTAGTAGTAGCAGTAGTTGTAGTAGTATCAGTAGTAAAGCAGTAATAGTAGTAGCAGTAGTAATAGTAGTAGTAGTAGTTGTACTAGTAGTTACAGTAGTAGTAGCAATAGTAGTAGTAGCAGCAATAGTAGTAGTAGCAGAATAGTAGTAGTAGTAGTAGTAGTAGTAGAGTAGAGTAGCAGTAGTAGTAGCAGTAGTAGTAAGTAGTAGAGTAGTACAGTAGCAGAGTAGTAGTAGTAGTAGTAGTACAGTAGTAAGTAGTAGTAGTAGTAGTAGTAGCAGCATTAGTATAGTAGCAGTAGTAGTGGCAGCAGTATGGAGCAGTAGTATAGTAAGTAGCATTAGTAGTAGCAGTAGTAGTAGTGAGTATAGTAGTAGTAGCAGTATATAGTAGTTAGTATAGAGTAGCAGTAGTAGTATAGCAGTAGTAGTGGAGCAGTAGTAGCAGTAGTAGTAGTAGCATAATAGTAGTAGCTAGTAGCAGTATAGCCTAAAGCAGTATAGTGATAGCAGTAGCATAGTAAGTAGAGTTAGTAGCAGTAATAGTAGCATAATAGTTAGCAGTAGCAAGCAGTAGTAGCATAGAGTAGTAGTAGTAGTAGTAGTAGCAGTGATGACAGTAAGTAGTAGTACAGCAAGCAGTAGTAGCAGTAGTAGATATAGTATAGCAGTCAGTACGTAGTAGTAGTAGTAGTAGTAGTAGTAGTATTAGTAGATAGTAGTAGTAGTAGTAGTAGTAGTAGTAGTAGCAGTAGCAGCAGCAGTAGTAGAAATACATTCCATTGCCTAAATTGGTACAGCATGCTTTCTTCCAACCACATTGGGTAATATAATTTTACAATATAATAGAACTTCTGGATGTGACATAGGCTGAGATCTACCCCTTACTTACTGGACTGTAAATGGATTGCAGGACTGTTAATTAAAAAATAATTTGTTCTTAACTTGGTAAATAAAGGTAAATATTTTTATTAAAATACAAATAAATTACATCTGGCACACAGTTTGGGACTGGGCTGCTCTTTCTGAATGAACCAAAATACTTTCACATTCTGCTGACCATTTGAAGTACAACTCTCTCTTTCTGCATATTGGATCACTTTCCCTATACTCTTCTCAACTGTGTCACTCTCTCTGGGGTGCACTTCTCTGGGGCTACACACACGCACACACGCACACACAGGACATGAGATCATCGCCGTATTTCCCAGCGCGATCTGTGCTGTTCCGTAAGGAGGCCAATGGAGTGACGTACCGTGTCCCTGCCCTGCTCTACCTGTCCCGCTCCAACTCCTTCCTGGCCTTCTGTGAGGAGAGACTCAGCCCCTCAGACGCCCAGGCTCATCTGCTGGTCATGCGCAAGGGCACATTCTACAGGAACTATGTGGAGGTCAGTACAGGGTCACAGACTTAGGTTGGGACACAGTTATAACAGGTGTCCTAATACTTTACCCTCCTACCCTCCCTCCCTGTCTCTACCCTCCCTCCCTGTCTCTACACTCCCTTCTCAGTGGGAGGACATGCGTGTTCTGGGCACGGCTCAGTTGACAGGCCACCGGTCGATGAACCCGTGCCCGCTGTATGACGAGTTCACAGGCACCCTCTTCCTGTTCTTCATCGCTGTGCTGGGCCACACCTCCGAGTCCTACCAGCTGGTGACGGGTAAGAATGTAACGCGCCTCTGCTTCATCTCCAGTAACGACCAGGGCAACACATGGAGCCCTGCCACCGACCTCACCAAGAGGGTCATAGGAGACACCATCAAAGGTGAGACAAGGTCACAGCAGGCAGGTTGATCTCATGAGGTTATGAAGTTCTGTGTTTTATGGTGAAGTATGTGTTTATATCACATGGTGTCATATCTCTCTGGTTGTTGTTGTGGTTCTGGTTGTGTTTCCCCTCCTCAGACTGGGCCACCTTCGCCCTGGGCCCGGGACACGGCATCCAGCTCAAGTCAGGCCGTCTGCTGATGCCAGCATATGCCTACCATATCGACTGCAAGGAGTGCTTCGGCCAGATGTGCCTGACCACGCCCCACGCTTTCTGTTTCCATAGCGACACCCACGGGCGGACGTGGCGCTTTGGAGAGGCGGTGCCAGGGCCAGAGAGCGTGGAGTGCCAGATGGTGTCTGTGGATCAGGAGGATGGGACCAACGTGCTGTACTGTAATGCTCGGAGCCCCCTGGGCTGCAGGGTTCAGGCCCTCAGTCTGGATGACGGAGCTGTCTTCCAGGATGGACAGCTGGTTCAGCGGCTCACAGAGCCCCGTAATGGCTGCCACGGTAGTGTAGTGGGGTTCCCTGCCCCCCTACACCTCAACCTCCGCCCTCGGCCACCAACCCGCGCCAGACACTGGACATCCTTCGCGGCTAAGTCTGGTGACTCCTCCCCACCCACCACCACTGCCACTCCCCCTCCCAGCTCCCCACAGAATTTCCTTACACCCACCTGGGTGGTGTACTCCCACCCGACGTGGACCAACGTGCGGAAGGACCTGGGGGTGTACCTCAGCCTGTTCCCCCGTGACCCGGACAGCTGGTCTGGCCCGTGGGTGATCTACGAGGGCCCCAGTGCCTACTCTGACCTGGCCTACCTGGAGCTACCCTCAGCTGGGGCCCCGTCGGCCGTGGCCTTCGCGTGTCTGTTTGAGTGTGGCACCAGCACGGCTTATGATGAGATCTCCTTCAGCATCTTCACCCTCTACGAGCTCATTGACAACCTGCCCCGCAGCACAAAGTCAGCCAGGAAAACACAGCCACCCAGCAACACACAGCCACCTAGCAACACACAGCCACCTAGCAACACACAGCCACCCAGCAACACACAGCCACCCAGCAACACACAGCCACCCAGCAACACACAGACCTTCCACAATACAACACAACCCAGGGAAGAAAGACCAGCAGCGAGGAGGATGAGGAAGATGTGTGGTCTTTGCAATGTTTCGTAACTGCTAATTAACCGTTAATCCTAGTGTTTTCTGCCCGTCTCCTTCTGCCTTGTGATAAAGTGTGTAACAGCACCATATTTAAACGCAGAGTGAATGATTCCTGTTCTGATGTTTTACATCTCGTGATATCAAGTCCATCCAGACCTAGTAACCCTCGACTTAATGCACATACAGGAAATGTAAATTATTCTGTGGATTATAATTAATGGACATTTTTGTAGGGGTTGATACATTTTTCATATGGGAAAATCAAGTCTGAAATTTCAAAAAGGAAATTACAAACTCCATAAGCTTTTTTAAACCTCAAATACACTACAAGTTTTGAATGTCATGCATTTCAGGAAAGTTCTCCTGCAACAGGGTGATCAAATGAAGATCTTCCTTCTCTATAACTCTGTTGAAATGCAGTTATTGCTGGATTGCTGTAATCGGCCATGATCACCACTAGATACTCACAAACATAACTTTGAACCATTCTTTATTAAACCAACCCTTCTTCCTCTGCAGTATTTGTGTACTGATTGGTATACGACATGGCCAAAAGTATGTGGACACCGGCTCGTCGAACATCTCATTCCAAAATCATGGGAATTAATATGGAATTGGTCCCCCCTTTGCTGCTATAACAGCCTTCCACTCTTCTGGAAAGGCTTTCTACTAGATGTTGGAACATTGCTGCGGGACTTGCTTCCATTCAGCCACAAGAGCATTAGTGAGGTCGGGCACTGATATTGGGCGATTAGGCCTGGCTCTCAGTCAGCGTTCCAATTCATCTCAAAGGTGTTCAATGGGGTTTGAGGTCAGGGCTCTGTGCAGGCCAGTCAAGTTCTTCCACACCGATCTCAACAAACCATTTCTGTATGGACCTCCCTTTGTGCACGGGGGCATTGTCATGCTGAAACAAGAAAGGGCCTTCCCCAAACTGTTGCCACAAAGTTGGAAGCACAGAATCGTCTAGAATGTCATTGTATGCTGTAGCGTTTAAGATTTCCCTTCACTGGAACTAATGGGCCTAGCCAGAACCATGAAAAACAGCCTCAGACCATTATTCCTCCTCCACCAAACTTTACAGTTGGCACTATGCATTTGGGCAGGTAGTGTTCTCCTGGCATTTGCCAAACCCAGATTCGTCCGTCGGACTGCCAGATGGTAAAGCGTGATTCATCACTCCAGAGAGGGACATTTCCACTGCTCCAGAGTCCAATGGTGGCGACCTTTACACCACTCCAGCCGACACTTGGCATTGCGCATGGTGATCTTAGGCCTGTGTGCAGCTACTCGGCCATGGAAACCCATTTAATGAAGCTCCCTACTAACAGTTATTGTCCTGACATTGCTTCAAGAGGCAGTTTGGAACTCGGTAGTGAGTGTTGCAACCGAGGATAGACAATTTTTACGTGCTTCAGCACTCTGCGGTCCCGTTCTGTGAGCTTGTATTGGCCTACCACTTCATGGCTGAGCCGTTGTTGCTCCTAGACGTTTCCACTTAACAATAACAGCACTTACAGCTGACCGAGGCAGCTCTAGCAGGGCAGAAATTTTACGAACTGACTTGTTGGAAAGGTGGCATCCTATGACGGTACCACATTGAAAGTAAGGCCATTCTACTGCCAATGTTTGACTATGGAGATTGCATGGCTGTGTGCTCGATTTTATACACCTCTCAGCAACGGGTGTGGCTGAAATATCCAAATCCACTAATTTGAAGGGGTGTCCACATATATATTTTGTATATATAGTGTATTTGCATGTGTGCGTGTCTTGAGATGTTTGCATGTGTGCGTGTCGTGTGTGAGATAATGTGCTTTTCCAACAACATGTACATTGTAAATTGATTTTAACTCATGACTGCGTCACCCTATACTATACACACAGACAACACACCATCTCGTAAGCATGTGTTCTACATTGTCACACTCACATTATCTAAAAGCGCTCAGTCAAGTTGTTTTCCTTCCTGGTGAAATGAAGGACAGATTAGAGAAAGGGAAGTGAGAGCTGACAGTGAGCTACGCTGAAGAAAAATACAGGATGACTTAGCGATAATCAGAGACCGACACATCAGCCTGTGTTGACTCTTGTGGCTGGTAAACAGGATGCTTAGAGAGCCCTGCAGCAGTTTGATTATCTGATGTCACACCAGCCATTTTGTACCAGAATGCTCGCCACACATGGGCTATCAAAGAGTTGATGTGGGATCACTGCTGTTTATAGCCTATTAGACGTGCAACATTGTCTTAGCAACAGAGCCACTTATCCAAAGATGTTTTGAAGGCTTTACTCTGGTCACAACCTGTCCAGGGGTAACATCTGGCCAAAATATATTTACAATTTAATAGAGCTAAAAATAAAAAACATGTCCGTTGTGCTTCTAGGCCGAACTGACATCCAACATTCTGTTATGCAACATCTGTGACATATCCAGCTGAGTGGAGGTTGCCGTGGGCAACTCCAAACCGCCCTGGGGGAGGGGCTTGCGATTGAGTGTGGCTGTCAATCTTTTCCGGAACACCCTGCACAGGAACACATAGATCAGCGGGTCCAGACACACGTTAGCGGCAGACAGCCAGAGAGTGGTCTCCTTGGCAACGTAGAGTGCGTTCTGCATCCGACAGTGGTTGGCTATGTTTCGGGTCTGGGTGAGAGTGTAGGGCACCCTGGCGAAATGAAAAGGGGCGAAACAAATGAAAAACACCCCCACCACCACAAAGACTTTGGCCTTGGTCCTGCGGCTGGCTGCTTTGGAGCCACTACGCGAGGCTTTGTAGGACTCGTAGACTTTCCGACTGATGAAGGTGTAACACAACAGCATCAGAGCCAGTGTGCCCCAAAACACCACCTGGGGAGAGGAGGGAAAGACTCAGTAAAGCATCAAACAACATCATCAGAAAAGCAAAAATAACATTTTTAACCACAAATAGGTGCCAAGTCCAGGCACTCGTGTGGGTATGAAAGTTAAAAAGCTTTTAATGTGTGGGCTGTCATTATTAAAACACACCAACGTTTATCGGAGTGTCAACATATAATCAGTATAAATAATGAACAAAAATATAAACACAACATGCAACAATTTCAACGATTTTAGTGAGTTACAGTTCATATAAGGAAATCAGTCAATTGAAATAAGATTGATTAGGCCCTTACCTGGCAGAAGTAGTTGAAGCCCTCGTGCCACAGCATGCCGGCCTGACCCTTCAGAGAGGTACACTTCAGCCGGCCACCAGAGGGCGGCGGTGTGCGGTCACTCAGAATGGCATTGGGCAGAGCCAGAGACACCATCACAGTCCAGACGGCCGCACTCAAGGCCTGTCCCACCCCGACCCTCTGGAGGGCGCACTTCCCAAAGGGCCTGACTATCTTGAGGTAGCGGTCAAGGCTGATGAGCCCCAGGAGCAGGATGCTGATGTACATGGTGGTGTAGAAGAGGACGGCAGAGTAGCGACAGTAGAACGCACGCAGACGCCAGGAGCCCACATCGGCGTCCGCAAGGACCTTCACTGGGATGGACAGAGTCATTAGCAGATCCGCCACCACCTGTTGACAGACAGGTCATCACGTCAGTTATCAGTTCTATTGTTCAACTAAATTGGTGTTATCACAGAAAATAAATGCTGGTTCCCTTACTACGTTCTTCAGGTAGACCACGAAGGTGGTGGTGCTGCGGATGTTGAAGAAGATCCATGCAGCCAGGCAGTTGAGTATTAGAGCAAACAGGAAGAGCGCGCTGTAGAGACAGGGGAAGACCACCGCTGTGACACTGGTGTCACGCACACACTTCAGAGACAGGTTTGATTGGCTGCTGTTCATCCTCACACCCAGCAGTACTTTGGAGAGAAACAGAGAATAAAAAGATTGGATGAGCAGTATGGCCTACATTTCCCCATAGCAACATCCTCATAGTAGAGAGAGAGAGAGAGAGAGAGAGAGGAGAGAGAGAGAGAGAGAGAGAGAGAGAGAGAGAGAGAGAGAGAGAGAGAGAGAGAGAGAGAGAGAGAGAGAGAGAGAGAGAGAGAGAGAGAGAGAGAGAGAGCGAGAGAGAGAGAGAGAGAGAGAGAGAGAGAGAGAGAGAGAGAGAGAGAGAGGAGAGAGAGAGAGAGAGAGAGAGAGAGAGAGAGAGAGAGAGAGAGAGCGAGAGGGGGGTTATGTAGTAATTTACTCTATATTTAATTCACAGAAAGATCATTCAAAGGCATTTCTGAGAAACCACTTCCTGTCGGTTTCCAACCAGTGACACAGAGGTTGAGCAAGTAATATGCAGCACAATTAGAGTCCACTTTTTCATAACACCCTTCACAATGTATGTTTTAAAATGTATTTAATATTAATTTGGACAATGTAAATACATCAAGTTAATGAGTTATGTATTCAAAGTCTCAAATCAAACTAATACAAGGTAATCTTTTTCTCTATCAACAAAAGGCTGTTTCTATACCTTCCAGTGAACCCACAATAAACTGACCACCAGGTTAGTAATAATAAGCCATTTAGCAGACGCTTTTATCCAAAGCGACTTACAGTCATGCGTGCATACATTTTTGTGTATGGTTGGTCCCGGGGTTCGAACCCACTACCTTGGCGTTACAAGCACCGTGCTCTACCAGCTGAGCTACAGAGGACCACTGTACAGAGCGCTTCAAGATATGCTGATGATAGACAGTACATTTACAGTGGCAGTCGTTTCCTACAACCTCCATCTGTCTCTCTCTGTATCCGCTTGGCCTGCCGCTTTACATAAGGAGTCCAAACAGCTTAGAATGACATTCAGTGCAGTAAAAGTTGTTATGGCAACCAAGGCACATTTTGGATCCATTTAGGGGTTTGTAGACCGATACTCAGAAGAGATGGATCCCTTTAAAATCATGTTTCTACAACTTCATGAGAAATTTGAGCCAAATACCTGAAAATACACTTGATGTCCCTACATGAATCTGCATTGATTCAGTCTGATTTGGACAGCTCACAAATAATGTGCTGTACTGTAGGCCATTCATTGAAAAACT